GGTTGATTTGTGGGAGAGAGTGACGCTGGGGACCGTCTATTCCACCATCTTGACCAGAAGTGATTGCCCCCATTTTTAAATGAGGGTTTGTTGTTTGTTTGTTTGGGTTTTGGGGGGAGTTTTGTTGTTTTGTGTTTTGGGTTTTTGGTGTGGGGTAGTTACTGAGTTGTGTGAGTTCCTTAACATATTTTGTATATCAACTCCTTATCAGATATGTGGTTTGCAAATATTTTCTCCCAGTATGTAGCAAATATTTTCTCTTCATTTTGTTGCTTCCTTTGCTGTGCAGAAGCTTTTGATGTAGTTCTACTTGATTATTTTGTCTTTTTGGCCAGAGATCTTGATGTCATATTCAGAAATCACTGTCATGGCCAATGTAAATGAGCTTTCACCATGTTTTCTTGTGGGAATTTTAGGGATTCATGTCTTTAGTTTAAGTCATTAATTCATTTTGAGTCCATTTTTATGTATGGTATAAGGTTCCAATTTCATTCTTTTCCATACGGATATCAAGTTTTCCCAAAATAATTTCTTGAAGAGACTGTCCTTTCCCCACTGTGTGTTCTTGGTGCCCCTGTCAAAAATTAGTTAACAATTTAGGGCTGGCCTGGTGGCCCACTGCTACAGTGTGCCACTTGAGAGCGCGGTGGCAGCTTGAGAGCGCGGTGGCACTCCTGCAGAGGGTTCAGATCCCACATACAGACCAGTTCCCACTCACTGGCTGAGCGAGGTGTGGGAGCAACTTGAGAGCGCGGTGGCACTCCCGCAGAGGGTTCGGATCCCACATACAGACCAGTTCCCACTCACTGGCTGAGCGAGGTGTGGGAGCAACACTGAGGGTTGCGATCCCGTTGCTGGTCCCGGTCCGGTACAGGCGTGACACTGAGGGTTGCGATCCATTGCCGGACATGAAAAAAGACAAAAAGGAAAAAAAAATTAGTTAACAATTTATACTTTGGTTTATAGGTTTATTTGTGCACTGTACTGTGTTCCAGTGACCTATGTATCTATTCTTATGCCAGTACCACACTGTTTTGATGATTATAATTTTAAAACTTGAAATCAGGAAACATGATGCCCCTCAACTTTGTTTTTCTTTCACAAGATTGCTTTGGCTATTTGAGATCTTTTGTGTTCCATACAAACGTTGAAAATATTTTTTCTATTTCTATGAAAAATGCCATTGGAATTTTGATAGGGATTGCATTGAATCTGTAGATCACTTTGGTTAGTATGGACATTCTAACAATATTAATTCTTCCAACCCATGAACACGGGTTTTTTCACTTTTCACTTTTCACTCTTTGCTTATTTGTATCTTCCTTAATTTCTTTCACCAATGTTTTTTTAGTTTTCAGTACATAGATCTTTCACCTACTTGGCTAAATTTATTTCTGAGTGTTTTATTTTTTGATGATATCATAAACAGGATTATTCTCTTGATTTCTTTTTTGTATAGGTAGTTGTTGGTGTGAAGAAACTCAACTAATTTTTGTAGTTCATTTTATATAGAGCAATTCACTGAATTTATTAGTTCTAAGAGTTTTTTTGTGAAGTCTTTAATGTTTTCTATATATAGGATCAAATCATCTGCAAACCAGGAAATAACTTTACTCCTCCCTTTCTAATTTGAATGCCTTCTTTTTCTTGTCTGATGGCTCTTGCTAGTACTTCCAATACTATGTTGAATTGAAGTAGTGAGAGTGGGCATCCTTGCTTTATACAGGACCTTAGAGAAGAAGTTTCCTGTTTTTCCTCATTTATCATGATGTTACCTGTGGGATTTCCATAAATACTTTATTGTATTGAGAAATTTTCTTCTGTACCTATTTTGTTGAGACTTTTTACCATTGATGGATGTTGAATATTGTCAAATACTTTTTCTTCATATGTTGAGATAATCATGTGATTTTTATCTTTTATTCTGTCAATGTGGCACACCACACTGATTGATTTGCATATGTAAAACCAACCTTGCATCCCAGAGATAAATCCCACTTGGCCATGGTGTATAATCTTTCTGACATGCTATTGAATTCAGTTCAATAGTATTTTATTGAGAATTTCTGAGACATTGACTTGTTTTCTTTTCTTGTGGAGTCTTTGGCTTTCATATCAGGGTGATGCTGATGTCATAAAATAAGTTTGGCAGTATTCCCTCTACTTCTATTTTTTGGAAGAGTTTAAGAAGGATGGTATTAATTTCTCTTTGAACATTTGGTAGAATTCAGCCATAAAAGCCATCTGAACCTGGGCTTCCATGGCAGGTTTTTTTTTTTTTTAATTACTATTTCCATCGCCTTATTTATTACTGGTCTGCTCAAGCTTCCTATTCCTTCTTGATTCAGTCATGGTACGCTGTGTGCTTCTAAGAATTTGTCTGTATCTTCTAGGTTATTCAATTTGTTGGTGAATACTTATTAATAGTGCCTTATGATCTCTTTTATTTCTGAGGCACCCATTGTAATGTCTGCTCTTTCATTTCTAGTTTTGTGTCTTCTCTTTTTACTTAGTCTATTTAAGGGTTAGTTGATTTTGTTAATTTTTTTTTTTCAGAAAAGCAACTATTAGTTTTGTTGATTTTCCTACAAATTTTCTCCATTTTATTTATTTCTGCTCTGGTCTTTATTATTTTCTTCCAGCTGCTAACTTTGGATTTAGTTTCTTCTTTTTTGAGTTCCTTCAGGTGTAAAGTTAGGTTGTTTATTTGAAATGTTTCTTCTTTTTTAATGTAGACATTTATTGCTATAAATTTCCCTCCTAGGGGATCTTAGTACCAAGTGCAGGGCAGAGAAGTTAATGTCAGAGGGGTTGCAGTGAGTGTAACTGGGTAGAATGCTCTGGGTCCCTGATGCAGCCTCTACATGAGCTCACTGTATTTTCCTTATATGATCAGGCCCCATTTCTGGTGGCTATGCTTGCCTGGAAACTGAAAGGATTATGAAAATGTGACTAGCAAAGTGTGGTAGGGAACCAGGCATGGGGAAATTAGGGCCAAGAGGCACTGGGTGAGGCTAGACCAGAAGGAGGTTTAAGGAGGCCTCTGTCACTGTAAATTTCCCTCCCTCCTGATACTGCTTTTGCTGCATTCAATAAGTTTTGGCAAGTTATGTTTTTATATTTATTTGCTTCAAGTTATTTTTTAAATTCCCTTTTGATTTCTTCATTGATCCAGTGGTTGTTCAAGAATTCATTATTTAGTTTCCACATATTTGTGAACTTTCCCATTTTCTTGCTGTTACCGATTCCTAGTTTCATTCCATTGTGGCCACAAAAAAAATACTTGGTATAATTTTGATCTTCTTAAATTTGCTTAAATTAAAATTAGGTCACTTGTTCTGTGACTTAATATGTGACAAATCTGGGAGAATGTTCCATGTGCACTTGAGAAAAATTTAGATTCTTTAGCTGCTAGGTGAAGGTTCTGCTTAAGTCCATTAGGTTCATTTGGTCTATAGTGTTGTTCAAATCAGATGTTTATTAATTGATTTTTTATATTATTAAAAGTGGAGTATTAAAGTTGCATGCTATTTTTGCATTATTGTCAACTCCTTTCAGATCTGTCTCAGTATTTGATTTATATACTATTATATAAAATATAATAACATTCTATTATTATTATATATAATAGTATATAATATATGTTTAACATACTAATGTTGGGTGCATGTATATTTGCAATTGTTGTATCTTGCTGTGAAACTTTTATCATTATGTAATAACCTTTATCTCTAGAGATGGTTTTTGACTTAAAGTCTATTTGTCTGATATATGTATACCCACTTCTCTGTGGTTTTTGTTACTATTTGCATGCAATATCTTTTTCCATCCCTTCACTTTAAACCCGTGTGTTTCCTTGAATCTAAAGTGAATTTTCTGTAGACAGCATAGAGTTGGATCTTGTTTTCTTATCCTTAGCTACCCTGTAACTTTGTTATAGGGGGGTTTAGTCCATTTACATTTAAAGTTATGACTGATAGGGAATAATTCACTATTACCATTTATTTTGTTAATTGTTTTCTATTTTTGTCATAGTTCTTTGGTCTCTCTTTTTCTCTTACTGCTTTTGTTTGTGTTTAATGGGTTGGCTTTCTTCAGTTTTTTTTTTTTTTCCCCTTTTTTTGTCTTTTTTCATGACCGGCAACGGATCGCAACCCTCAGTGTCGCACCCCGTACAGGACCGGGACCGGCTACGGGATCGCAACCCTCAGTGTTGCTCCCACACCTCGCTCAGCCAGTGAGCGGCCGGTCTGTACGTGGGATCCGAACCCTCGGCGGGAGCGCCTCCGCACTTCCCAAGCGGCGCACTGCAGCAGTGCGCCACCGGGCCGGCCCCCTTGTTGTTGTTTTGTATTAAAATTTTAATTCATTTTTCTTTTTCTCTTGTGTAACTTCTATAGGTATTTTTTTGTGTAATTGCCAAGAGGCTTATGTAAAATATCTTATAGCTATAACAATCTACTTTAAACTGATAATAATCTAACTTCCTTTGCATACAAGAATTCTTCCCCTGATTTCAAGCTACTGATGTCTCAATTTAGATCTATTAATATTATGTATCCATTAACACAATTTAGTTATAGTTGTTTTTAATATCTTTGTTTTTTAACTTTTAAAATGTATTTATATATCACACTTAAATAATGTTTTTATAAAATTTAAAATGAGTAATCTTGGGTGACGTTTATGCACCCAGGGAAAAGTCGTGATTCATCCTGAGACTTGGTGTTCCCTTGGCATACTACTGGGTACTTACCCTAGTTTTAAGAAGCATAATCAGAGACAAAGAAGATTTAGAATTATGGAACTGGATAGTAACTTAGTCATTTTACTTCAAAAACAATTCAATAATGATTAGACCAAGAATATATTTGATATTATTTAACAAAATCCACAATGTTATATTTAGGAGATTAATGCATAAACTATAAAAGTCAATATTCTAAAACATGTTAATGATATATTCTACAGAAAATATTTTAGACATTATAATTTATAACCTTTAAAAGTGAAATTTAAATCCCTCTTCACCATCTCAGTAATTTTTCTGGCCACATTGCTTTCAGAAGGCACATAAACCAACTCATATTCATGCATAGAATTGATGAGGAAAGCAGGCAGTGTCAAGGGGAGAGGGTTATAAGTGGTGGCGTCATTTGAATACCTTTTTGTATGTTTGTGTTCCAACAAAATTAATGCCAAGAGTATGAATACTATAAGGATTTCCACAACCAAACCAATTACCTGCTGCCTCTGCAAAAGAAACAGAAGAATCTGCATGTTTATAGTCCTGTTTTTGCACACACACACACAATACGAATTTTTACTATTCCACTTCATTCTACAATAAGAATGGTTCCTGGGATTGTCTTTCAGACCCTTTTCTACATTTTGTTATTCAATCTGTTGTTTCACTCCATGGGTATTCTTCAAATTTAGAGTTGCTACCTCCAGCCTTGGAACAATAGAGAAAAAAATCATAAACTAAAATAAAGTGAAAGAGTTATTAAAAATTCCCGTTTGGCTTCACTAGCCTTTACAACCATTTCCCACAGATATCTGCACATACATTCAAAAGAAAATTTTTCCAGAGGAGGACTGTAAATTGCTTGAGCCACAATAAATCCATTTTACCAACAAGGAATAAAAGTTCAACTCTTAAGAAGAAAATAGAGATTAAAAGCAATTTAGGTGACCTGCAAAATATTAAATTTAGTCAAATAAAAGGATTATTTCATTTTTCTATTCTTTTCTTTCATCAATCCTGAAAGATAAATACCAAAAAAAGTTGAAATAATTATTTGTCATTAATTCACATCCAATCATCTTCTTTCTGTTTTGTTTTGTTTTGCTTTTAAATTTGAATTTTTTAATTGCCTTTGCATATGTACATTGAGATAAAAGGAAAACATTGCTTGGACACACAAATACTGAAAACTTACTTGCTGTTTATCTGAAATAAATTACAAGCATCCAAGTTATATACCTACTTATTTAATTATACTTACCCAATTTTGCCCTCCTTAACAGTTCCTTGTTTTGCAGAATTTACTTATAAAATTCCTTGTTACAGTCTATGTTCCATTTACATTGTAACAGAGCTTGTATGATGTTTACATAAAACCTACTTTAATCTTTTGCCCATCAAATGTTCTTTACTGAGAAACATACCCAACATTCGCATTGTGAGCTGGCATCCTTAAGATGAATTGGCGTAAAGTTAAGAACACTGAGAACTGCTCTTCAAACTTGGTGGTTAAAGCTCACAATACAACACTCATGACATAATTTGCTTTTCTATTCTTGAGGACTAGGTTGCATCTTTTGATCAATACTTTTTCTTTTTCTTTCTCTTTCTTTCTTTCTTTCTTTCTTTCTTTCCTTCCTTCCTTCCTTCCTTCCTTCCTTCCTTCCTTCCTTCCTTCCTTCCTTCCTTCCTTCCTTCCTTCCTTCCTTCCTTCTTTCTTTCTCTCTAAAACATTAGGCAATAGAGTTGAGTTCCATCACAGATTACATCACATGACCAAGTGGAGTTTATCCCAAGAATGCAAAGGTGATTTATAAAAATCAATCAATTTAATACAGCATTTTAATATAATAAAGGGGGGAAAACCTACATGATAATTCTGATTGATGCTACAATGACTCCCAGAACTGAGAAAAGTACTGTACTTGCAATTACAGTGTATTACAAATGGAGAACCAAATAAACAGATGGGGCAAGGGGCTATGGTCACAAAGCTTCCATACCCTCTTCAGTGTGCCATCCTCACAGCACATCGATGTGTTCACCAGTCCAAAAGCTTTCTGCACCTCACTGTTCAAAAGTTTTTGCTGAGGCTTCATTATGTAGTCATGACTGATTAAATCAATGCCCCTTGGTGGTGGAACTCAATCTCCAGCCTCCTTTTCTCCTGGGTATTGGAGATGGGGTGGAGGCTGAAAGTTCCAACCCTCTGATCACCTGGTTGATTCCTCTGGCAACCAGCCCCCATGTTGAAGCTATTTAGGGACCTGCCCAGAGTCACCTCATTAGTATAAACTCACGTATGGTCTAAAGGGGCTAGTTATGATAACAAAAGACACTCCTGCCACTCAGGAAATTTCAAGGGTTTGGGGAGTTCTGTGCCAGAAACCAGGGACAAAACCCAAATATATACATTTTTTATTATATCATATCTTCTCAAACTCCACCAAAAAATGAAAGAGGAGGGAATACTTCATAACTCATTCTATGATGCCAGCATTACCTTTATATCAGAGAAATACATCACAAGGAAAGAATATTACAGAGCAATACTCTGTATAAATATAAGTGCAAACACCAAAAAAATATACACTACCTAACTGAATCCAGCACAATATTAAAAAGATTATATCACATGACCAAGTGGAATTTACCCCAAGAACACCAGGGTGATTTAACATATAAAAATCAATCAGTATAATACAGCATATTAATATAATAAAGGGAGAAAACCCACATGATGATTTTGATTGATGCAAAAAAATTTTTTGACATAAATGGCTACCCTTTCATGATTAAAAACACACAACAAACTAAGAATAGAAAGGTACTTCCTCAACATCATAAAGGGCATCTATGAAAAACTCACAAATAACATTATACACAGTGGTGAAAGACTGGAAGACCCTCCAAAGATAAGAAAGAAGATAAGAGAGGGCTGGCCCGTGGCTCACTTGGGAGAGCCTGGTGCTGACAACACCAAGTCAAGGGTTAAGATCCCCTTACCAGTCATCTTTTTTAAATAAATAAATAAATAAAAAGAAAGAAGATAAGGGTGTCTGGTCTCACCACTTGTGTTCAATATTGTACTAGAAGTCCTAGTCAGAGTAAATCATCATGATATGCATTTAGCAACGCATTCTTAGATTTAACACTAAAAGAAAACATAGATAAAATGGGATTTATAAAAAATAAAAAACTTTTGAGCATCAAGGACTTTATAAAGAAAATAAAAAGATAACCCATAGAATGGGATAAAATATTGGGAAATCATATACCTGATAAGTGTTTTGTGTCCTGAATATAAAATATGAGGGTACTTCCAAAAGTAAATGAAAAGATAATACAAATCTTTCCATGAACTTTGTGAAGACCTCGTCACATAACGCACTGTTACAACACAACAACAAAAAGACAATGCAGTTAAATAATGGGCAGAGGGATCTAAATAGACATTTCCCCCAAAAAATTATACAAATGGTCAAAAAGCACATAAAAAGATGCTCAACACCACTAGTTATTAGGGAAATGCAAATTAAAATACAATGTGACACATCCCACTAGAACAGCTATAATAAAACAAAACAAAAAACAGAAAATAACAAATGTTGGCAAAAATGTGAAAAACTGGAACCCTCTCACACTGATGTAAAATGATGCAGCCCATACGAAAAGCAGTTTGGCAGTTCCTCAAAAAGTTAAATGGAATTACCATAGGACCCTCCAATTTCATTACTAGGTATACACCCAAGAAAGTAGAAAACACATGTCCTTATAAAAATGTATACACAAATGTTCACAGTAGCATTGTTCATAATAGTCAAAAAGTGGAAACAACCCAAAGTCCATCAACTGATGAACAGATACACAAAATGTGGTACATCCATACTGCCAAAAAAAGGTAGCATCAATATGGTTATGGCACCTAAAATGGAGCAGAGAAGCCACCTCAACTTGAACTTTAGGCATGTCTTAGCTAGGAACACTTTGAACTTTTGCTGAACTTCTGTACTCAGACACATTACTAATTGCTACCAGCTATTAAAAAAAAAAAGAAAAATATTGTCTGAGTGATGCCTGCATAAGGTATATTGTGCTTGCTTGCAACACATGTGAGACCTGGAACTGTCTCATAGATGAGGATGAATTGTTTTCCACTGAGGAAAGGTTCCAGTGGGGTTTCTGGGGGCTCACTCTTGGTAGTAGTGGAATACCAGTCATATGAAATTTAAATCTAATCCACAAACTGGGAAAGGTACTAAATTTTGTAACCAGCCAAACCTCTCAAGGATTCAGACAGGTAGAGGCCAGCCTCTAATAATTAAATGGGAACATTTGTATCCAGAAAAAAAAACTCTTAACGGAACACCATGCAACTCTTGACTTACTTTTTACCCAAGTATGGGGCTTGTGTGAGGTGCTGAACAAAATCGAATGTTGCACTTATGTTTCCCCTGATTTTAATGTCACAGAGCTCTTAATTAAAAGGGTGGCTGATACTGCCTTTGCAGGCATCCTGAATGGTGGATGGCAAGCTTGGCTGTTCCAGGGCTTCCTAACCTTTACATTTCTTTTAGTGAGTCTCCAGATCACTATGACTTGTGTCACCAGACTAATCAAGTTGAATACATCTTTAGATCAGGCCACTCTGCCATGTACTGTGGTCCTCAACTGCCTTCATTCTCCAAACCAGGGACTCAGACACTGCTGAACTATTGTTAATGCCTGAACTTTGAATTGTTCAATTTTGATTAGTTTGACTTATGGAGACTGCTCTTAAAAAGTGTATTTCCGTTTACTGGTATGGTGTTGTACTCATCCAAAAGTCTTAAACACCCATACACAGCTGCCCTTTGTACATCAACTGGTCTCATTATGGTTGAAATTGAAAAAAAAAAAAAAAAAGTAAGAGTCGTTTAACTAAATTGACACTGTAAAACTGTAAATTTTGTACTGAAATCAGGCAGATTCATTGTTATGGCTGCAGAACGTGGTGTCATTGCCCATGCCCATGATTTTGGTCAATCTCTCTTGAATGAGAGGTTAATCAAAATGCAGATGAGGAATCTAACTCACACTGTTAACAGAATTGCCGGAGCTACTGCACAAGCCATTAGAGCCAAACAGAGATCTTTAGATCCCTTGCCCATGTTGTCCTAGATAATCATATAGCTCTGGGCTACCTCCTTATGGCACTAGGAGGTGTTTGCACTATTGTAAATATAAGGTACTTCAAAAAGTTCATGGAAAGATGCATATTACCTTTTAATTATATTTTTCCATGATTTTTTTTGAAATATCCTTGTACATCCTGCTGTACCTGGATTAATGCATCTGCCCAGGTGGAATTAGAACCTTCTAAATTTATCAAATTGGCAGAATCTTAAGGGACATTCCACCTTCAACCTGAAATATCCTTGTACATCCTGCTGTACCTGGATTAATGCATCTGCCCACGTAGAATTAGAACCTTCTAAATTTATCAAATTGGCAGAATCTTAAGGGACATTCCACCTTCAACCCTGGATGGTTTAATTTTAAGTTCTCTGATGCATTCAGCTTGTTACATTTTGAGATCAAAATTACAGATTATTCTCATTTTAATGATATTGTTTGCTCTGTTTTTATCTTATTTAAATTATTAATGCTGTGTATATCTCGATGTTTTGATACTTTCCAACGTACAAGAATTATGGTAGCTTCTTGAAACCATCCACCAAATGTTTCCTTGCACCCGAAATAGACTCAGACATTCTTGCAGACTCACCTGATGTCTAAGTCTGAGCAGCCTCCCAGTTGCTCAAATATGGCCTATAGCCTTGCAACCATTTGCCAACACCTGTCTTCCCCTTTCATCCGGGGACATGACTTCCTGGGATAAA